TGCCCACGCAACCCAACTGTGGAGTCTAAACTAACTACTAATCTAATGTTTTTATTATTCATGCGGTTATAAAGAACTCGTATATGAAATAAATTTTGACTGAAGCGAAAATTAACATGAACATTAATGACTCACGTGCTATGAAGCCTCTCAATATGTGTTTTGGTCTGACTTTATGTGTAGTATATGTGCAAAACTGTACATCAATATTAATGTATTATATGTTAAGTGTTTTAAGTTATCTCGTCAAGTCGTAAGGCGTCTGATCAACATTACTATTTTAGATTGGATGACAAGTTGGCCGTAACTCAGGTACATTAGTCTCCAATGAGAAATGCCAGGTGATTCCACAGGCAAATCTAATGGTTCCAATATCTCAGAGTGAATATGAACCCATCAAGCTGTCCCCGTTACGATAATATTCGGTGAAATGGTTCTGCAGGTGGAGGCAGACGCTAAAATCTGTGGTTGGTTGGGCCTTGTTCTTACCTTCCAGTTTATTACTATTTATTTATATTACAACCAGTTTTCATCATTGTCTGATGTTCATTGTTGTTATCTTTATGGCTCATTTATTCTGGAGCGGACATTGTTTGAACGTCACTTTCGTATTTTCGCTATATTTTTTGTTTACTGTGGAATTATGTTGATATCGCCTGATGTCAGTGATGCATATTTGTTTTCATTGTGAATCTTGTACATGCTAATTGAAATTGATTATGAATTAGTGTCTTTCACCAACTCGTTATAGTCATCAGAATTCGAGGCGTCGGTTTTGTTATCAGTGTGATGGGTTGGTTATTGAGCAGCGGAGGCGTTATATAACGTAGCCCTAACAATAGGGGTAAACAGGGCCTCCAGGGTGTCCCGGGAGGCCTCCACTTGTAAATAAACAAGCCTCTGCTTGGAGAGATTTATGAATGCTGCTCAGAAAAGCCCGCGCTGCCATCCCTATTGTTGTCCACCCCGTAAATGGCCCACAATTTAAATTGAGTTCGATTCATGAAATGCGCGGCAATTTACCCCAAGCCAAACTCGACGTTCTGTGCTGGTTCATAAAATATTCATGGTCGACGTACATTAGAATGCCGAATAGAAAGAGGCGCTGGCAAATTTAAGCCCCACTTGCTACTAATGTTTCATTTTTTACCCCTCGCCCGGATGGCCGTTGACAGACGCTGGTGGCGTATCCCATTTGGTGTTTCCATTTTTATGTTTGTTGATTGTCTGTGAAGACATTTAAATGGGAGAAAACTTGATTTACGGCAGTAGTTTTCTTTTTCGTAAAGCAGATATTTACACATTCGGTTAATAATTCACGGTCGAGGGATTACTGGAGAGAGGCGACAACACACCATTTTTGTTGGTATTGACCACAGAAAACGGGGCAGCAGATCAATTGCTCAGTGGGTGGCGCGTGCGGCCACACACACCAACATTCCTATTACTCAAACCATATTTCTGGATCATCCTTGTTCCCTACGTCCAGACGATCCATTTGTCCTGATTAACATTAACGATAATGAAGGCGATTTCTCAGATACCTTTGAATTTGTAAGTTAATGCGGACAGACTGATTCCCGGGGTAGTAAATAGGGGTCGGTCGGTCAGGGGCTTTCCATGGAAATTGGGGTTGGTTCATAATACTCCGGGCGGATGATGTATCGGCGTTCATTTGAGAGTGTCACTGGAGTGCGACCAACAGCCGTTCCAATTATCGTTATGAACCCGTCTGCATGCTCCGGGTCTGGGCTATTATTCCATGTCACGGATAACACCGAGAATAGAATCCGGGGGGCGGTCAGTTTTTACGGATTTATGTAGACCCCGCCGTGACTCAAAGGGGGGGAAGACAAAAACGAATCGCCAGGAGCACGGTTGGTAGTGGCACACAACCAGACTACCTTTTGCAACACTGGCCCACCCTCTTCCTCCTTCCCCTCCTCCTCTTTTTCCTCTTCGTTCTCTTCCTCCTCCGCGCTCGTCAATATATGGATTTTATTAATCACTCGCCCCCTGTTGAGAAATAACTGTTTGAATTGTGAAATGCTGCGCAGGCGTGTTCTCTTGTAGACATGATTTCGTGTGGACGTGGCCTCAAGTAGGTGTGGCCTCGTGTGGGCGTGACCTCTTAAGGATGTCATCTGATATGGGTGTCATCATGTTGACATGGTAATGTGTGGACGTGTCATTATTCCTCATGTATCCTTGTTCGCTCGTAGGAAATGCTTCTTCCTGTGCATGTCCTCTTGGCGTGTCCTCGCGTGGGCTTGACCTCGTCTGGATATGTAGAGGAGTAAAGTTAGATCTGAGGTGGGCGTGTTGTCCCGAGTAGGGGAACAGCTATTGGGAGTGGGTAGCCGTGTGGGGGTAAGATAAATGATGAATCGTGAATAAATGAACAATTAGGGCGGTGGCGTGAACGGCGTTATCACAGAGGTGTAGCGAGAATGAACGTGCCACGCCCACCTCCCCCTAGGCTAACGGAGAGGACATGGTCGTCTGGAGGACGCCCAGGGGAGATATCCTGCGATCCCTCAGCCCCTCCCCTTCTATAAACTGAAGTCCTACTGAGGATTAGCGAGAAAGAATTAGGGACGTGATGGTGGGTTGCGGGAACTTTTTTAGTTAGTGAAAAACATCAGCACGGAGGAGCATGCAAAGGAAGGCTGGGAGTTAAGAAAATAATCATCACACTTTAAGAAATACATTATACATAATTGATGACCGGTGTGTAGAAGTGGGAGTCATGAAACTGTATTATGTATGGGGCCGCGAAGAACACCAAAGTAGAGTTGTTGAAGCTTATCAGGTTTGGGGTAGTTATGTGTGTGTGTGTGTGGTGCAGTAGGCCGGGCGGGTGACTCCCCTGGCAGTGATTCAGCAGTCAGCAGGAGCACCTTCCCGTCCTTCCCGTGGTGGTCACTTAGGGGGGAGGGGGGCGGGCCTCCCCCACCAGGACATCCTCAGTTAGCCCTGCAATTGATCGCGCGCTGCGGCCGTCACGCAAGTCTCACTCTTGGTGCGGCCGTGCACAAGGGCGGAGGGCGCCGCGCCGCCCCAGGTAGTGGCCATCCTCCTCGGCGGGCAGCGGAAGCACGCCCCCGCCCCCACCATACCACGAGCCACACATGCACAACACTCATTCACATTTCTTCTGTCCGGTGAGACATGTTCTATGGAAAGACTGGACCAGGAGGTTAAGTAGCCCCACTTCTAAATGGTATCTTGAAATTTTATAGAAAAAATATGCCTTGCCGTCGACTGCACGATTTCCGATTTATCATGAGGACAGTGACTCCTGGTGGATATCCTGTAGTTCCTGTATGTGACGGAGAGGGCGTCGGGCCTCCGGTGGCGTGAGGGAGTTTTTAGTTTGTGATGGCACGGGCACTGGAGGATCACGGAAGTACACACACGCCCTTACGTGCGCCTGTGGGGACTGCTTTTCCCCTCTCGCTCACCCCGTCTCGTTGGGTGATCGTGTACGTCTCACAACCTGTAAATTGTGTGGGGGCAAGCGTGATGGAGGCCTGTTGCTAAGTACGTCACCACCATGACACTGCTAGGTGACACAACACCTCCTAGGGGACACCCGTGGCCTCAACGCTCACCCTCCACAAACACTCGTGTCCTTTGCAAGTTTGACTACGTGTCTGCACTAGAAAAGTGTGATAGAGTGTACTTAGTTTTCTGGAATTTGTAAGTGTTAGTGATATACAATAGTACACAAAAGTATTTAAATTTTCGAAAAGTTGAAGCTGGTCTTCAATTTTGTACAAGTGTGTGACAAATGTACTCCTGAACACTACAGCACACCCGGAACTGTGTATTGTTGTGTCTGACAGTTAATCAGATCTAGTGAGAACAATAACTATGTGTAACTATGGACTTAAGATTATTTGTTTAAGGTTTTATGTAAACGTACAGTTCATTCGATAATAGTGTATATAATTGTTCAGCGTCGTGGTGTAACAAATGTCGTCTGATGGTGTTGCTCTGAAGTACATCTTATTTTCACTTATTCATGATCGAAGATAGATTTTAACAGCGTGATTTTTCTAACATCCACAATTTTAATTCTCCCGCAAATTTTATCCTGTCATGTTACTAATATGGTGTTGTCTGTTTGGTAAAGTTTTCGTTTCTGTTCAGTATCTCAAATATCCTTTGTAATTTTTTAGTGTTTTGTTGTGCATATAACTTACTATTACAGACAGATTTAGTATTATAATCGATGGCCAGTTTGAGTTATGTCCTTGACAGGGGAAGGATTGCGAGTACTGTATTGTACCGGCCACTCCATTGTTTTTGTTTTCGTTAAAGCTTTCTACAAGGGTTCATAATGTGACGCTGTAATATTTTTGTAACTAGTGTGTGGATAGGAGACGTTAATAGTGTGTTTATTGGGCAAAAATTCACCTGGGTTGGAAGACATACTGATACACATTACCCAATCTAGGTAAATGGTGTGAGTTGTTTAGTGGTTAGTTCACAGGTGGCATAACACAGGTGATTATATGGTCTCATAAACATAGTATTAACACCTGTACACCACCACAGGCTCCAGAAACATCACAGTGCCACACTATGATCCCCTGAGTGTTGCTGTCTCTATGAGGTACATGCTATTAATTGTTTTGTTCTTCTCCCTCTCTTAACTGTTGTACCGACTTAAAAAAAATCTGTGTCTTCAAGATTTTTTTTTCGCGATGTATTAATTCTGTTAATATTCTGCAATGTATAAATGGAGCGCGAACTCGGGAGAAAGTAGAAAAACGTAATTTCTAAGGTTACAACCAGTTATGTGATAGCGTGTGGCTGTGTTATTGTTTATTATTTTGTAGTGTAGCACATCATCATTCTGTAGCTTTTGGTGGGAAACAGATTATGTAAAATATATAAAAAGTTTTCCTAACAGGTACATATGATTGTATTTTACCGTACTTTTTCGGCACACTGATGTTGGCATCACTAACACGAGATTTGTTTTGGACCAGCAGTGACTCCTGGGCTGGCAGGACTGTCCTTAGGATCGGGGGGCGCCACTTCTTCACCCCTGATGGGAGTGAGGGAAGCCCTAGTCAAGCCTCAGGTGGACTACTCTCGATACGTGAAGCCCTTCAGCTCTGCTCTTGAGTGTGGACACCTTCCCTGCCGAGAACACAACCTTAGGTGAGAACCCTGGCTCTTCGTGTTATTAATAGAGGAATGAAATAGATTTATAATTGGTCGGGTCTGACTCAAGGCTCTGTAACTGAAGCTAACAAGTCACTTAATTTCACCTACCATATATCTGTGGTAGTTAAAATAATGCACTGATAAAGAGACGTCTTGACCTCTCTTAGAACTGCCATTTATTTATTTTTAATTCTCGATGCGTTTCTATGATGCACACGTGAGACCTTACGTCAACGAAATTTACATTTATCAATAAAAACATACAGTGCATCATTAGAATCAAAGCATATGTTTATAAACTTTGACAATTTCGAATATAATAACAATTTGTTATTTCCCTCCTCCACCCTCCCCCCCTACCCGACAGAGAACACTTCCACTGCCTAGAATGTAACTCGAAGGTGTTCAGCAAGAAGGAGGAGATGATCCGACACTTCAAGTGGCACAAGAAGCGTGATGAGAGTCTACAACACGGCTTTATGCGCTACTCCCCTTCTGACGACTGTTCCGACCGCTTCTCCAATTGCTCACACAACCGCAAGCAGACACACTACCACTGTCTCAAAGTAGGTTCTTTTCAATAGTGTTTTGAATGTTTTGATAGGAAATTCTTACCATGGTAAATTGACATGCTTGGGAGGTAAATAGTATAATGTATGAGCTAGAGCCAGTACAAACACACGTCCAACTCAGACACATCCACCTCTCACGATCATGTAGTACAGACAAAACTTTCCCTGGAGTTATTAATAAATCAAAGTACTTTAGTAACAGTAAGTCGCTAGACATGAAATAAAGAGAAATTTATCATTTATAAAATTCACTTTGCATATTACTTACGAATATTAAGTAAAAAGAAAGGGAATGAGAGTTAGCGACTTGTACGAATCTTCTGTTAAAGCTCCTTTTGTCCCCATTATTCCCTTACTGATATAATCTGAAAACGAGACCAGTGTTAGCTAGAGCAGACAATATATCCCCCAACAGGAGAGCTGCGACAAGGTATACATAAGCACATCCGATGTCCAGATGCATGCTAACTACCACCGCAAGGACTCGGCCATCATGCAGGAGGGATTCCAGAGGTTCCGCGCCTCGGAGGACTGTGGGCAGGCCGGCTGTTCCTTCAGCGGCCAAAGGACAACACATTTCCACTGTATGAGGATCGCCTGCAACTACACCTTCAAGAATAAGGCTGACATGGGTAAGAGTCTTGTATGTCTTTCCCTGTTGCTTTACGTACGAGCTGTTTAGTGTTTATCTTTTGTCACCCTCCACTAGGCACCTATTGTGCATATAGTGAATAGGAAGACAATACAAATCATTGTTATTTTATTTGGTCACAGCGTTTGATCATACCTCTGTGTCTCCCTTATTCCGACTGTTCATGTTTATATTTCTCAGTAATTCTTCGTCTCCAATGATTTCATATTCTCACCCCCACTCGTAATACAGCAGGCAGTTTGCTATGTATCAGACAAGGAGACTAACGGACATTTTTCTTGCAGAGAAGCACAAGACCTACCACATTAAGGACGAACAACTGACCAAGGACGGGTTCAAGAAGTTCATGAAGCAGGAGGAGTGTCCGTACGAGGGGTGTAAGTTCTCGCGGGTCGTCAACCACATCCACTGTATCCGCCCCGAATGTAACTACGTCCTTCACTCCTCCGGCCAGATATTTGCTCACAAGGTGCACTTCAACACTCTGCTCTTACACCTGGTAACAATACTGATATTTAACTGTTTGCTTTAAAACAAAAGCTCTTTGTGCTTTCTTGCGGTTTATGCACTGTTCTTAGACCTGTGATATATGCAGATACACGAGTAGTTATGTTAAGCAGTACATCTGACACTATTGTTTATTCTGTACAGAGGAAGCACGAGCGTCAGGACCACGAGCGAGCCTACCGCAAGTACAAGCTGGCGCAAACTATGCTAGGCGTACCAGAGGGCCACCCCGCCCTTGCACCCCTCCTTCACGAGGCGCTACGCCCTCTTGGTACTCTAGGGGGGCACATGGTCAACCCTTTGGTAGGCCCCTTAGGGGGGCCCCTAAGTGGTCCTATGTGCCCTGGTGACCAAAGAAGTGAGGACTCTTCCTCCCCACTGGGCCCCGGCCCCGGCACGCCCACTGCCCTCCCACCAGGACTCCAACGACCTCCTGGTTTACTAATGGGCGGTTTCCCCCCTCCTGGACTGGCCGAGGCTCAACACCCCCTCGCCCGCCTCCTGGGTGTGGCACCCCCTGCCGCCCACGGGTTCTTCCACGGCGGCTCGGCCACAAGCTCAGCCTCCACGCCCGCATCGTCGTCGTCAGGGCCGGCGTCACCGGTGGACCTGAGCATTAGCATGGGCTCGAGCGACGACCGTGAGTGGGAGCGATGGGTGAGGTGCCACGGGCGGGACGACGCTTGCCGCGCCGGCTGTGACCTGGCGGGAATGGAGCACTGGCACTGCGACGATTGTGAGACGGTGTTCCGCGGGCGTGAGAGTGCGCGCGATCACGGTCGCGCTCACGAGCAGCAAACATTGATCACGGACGAACATTACTCTAAGGTCACGAGCTCAGAGGACCCTCGTCCGTGTCCCCCAGACTGTCCCATCCAGGATCACGCAGACCACTACCACTGCAACTGGGTAAGTCCTCTCTCCTCTCTGCTGAATGTTGTCGTGTTGATCACTGTGAGTGCATGTCTCACATAGGTGCATTTATTACCACGCCCTGTAGTTACCACAGCGAGCCTCCCTATACTGTACACTCGTTTGTATAGAACACAGAGTAGACGTTTGTCTGAAGCATTACACTTGTATTTTTACAGAATGAGTAGTTTAAAAAACTTTCTTTTAGAATAGTAGATAATAACTAATCCCTTGAAAAGTAATTATTTTAACTTACTGTTTTTAAGGCTAAGTTACTGTTATAGACAGAGTAGAAAAGTATTATACTGTAAATGTTAATTGCAATATCTGATTCACCAAAACAAACCTGCTGATTTAGATGAAGTTAGCATCTTTGAATTATTTATATTTTGTTTGTAGTGGATAATTTCTATACACTATGAAAGTAGTAATAAGGCATAGAAGTTTGCTTCTTGTACTGTGTGTTAGTACAGTACTGTAGTGTGTTAACGATCTCTATAGTGCTTATTACTGTATTTATTTGATATTTGATGCCGTCTGTTTATTAGTATTTCAACTTTTTTCTTTGTACATATTGCCAATTTTATCAGTGTGTTGCTTAAAATCCTTTATTTTTGGCTTTATTTTTGTTGTTATGGTGTGTGGTGGATTGACTAACCCGGCGGTGTGGTGTGTGTGTGTGTGCAGGAGGGTTGTGGCGAGGCAATCCTGGCGTCAGGGGACAAGCCCTTCCGTCGCCTCGAGCACTTCAGGATGCACGACTACGCGCGACGCCTAGCCCTAGCGACCTCCCCCGGCGCCGGTGGACCTATAGGCGTCGCGGCTGTCACATCCGTCGATGCTATGTTCAAGCGTAAGCGCGGACGACCGCCAAAGAACAGGGTTATCGAGGTGCGTCTGCTGTTCTCTTTAAAGTTACCCCTTGATCTCTGCTGTTCTCTTTAAAGTTACCCCTTGAGCTCTGCTGTTCTCTTTAAAGTTACCCTTTGAACTCTGCTGTTCTCTTTAAAGTTACCCCTTGAGCTCTGCTGTTCTCCTTAAAGTTACCCCTTGAGCTCTGCTGTTCCGGTAAAACAAAGTAGATTTCAGAAGTTCAAATGAGTGTTTAATTAATTTCCCCAAAATGTTGACAAATTAATCTTACGTTACTATTGAATACAGTTTATAATATAAGACAATTTTTAAAAGTTTATCCAAAAATCCATGTTTTGATTTTGTTTTTGTCTCCCATTACTTTCAGGTGTGGAATGACTACGTAAGTTCCGTTTGTTTATTCTTTGCTAACTTACTGACTCGGCTCACTAATGCCCACTACTGATCCACCACCCTTTCCTCCTCTTCCCTGTTGTTGCCTTTTAACGCTTTACCCTTTTGTTGCTGTTGTCAGATTGATCTAGTTTATGCCTCCCAGCCAGCAAACACCTGACAGCCTTACAAGCTTTACTTAAACACACTAAGCAAAAATTAGATTTAATTTACCTTCAAAGGCTTTATTGGCACTAAATGAATAATGGCACCTCATAAATGCTTTATTGACGCTAAAAATCAAAACAAATGAAGTGTTTTCCTTGCCGCGACTCTGAATGACACCGCTACAACGTCTTGCATTTTTCTCTGGCCACATTGTTATTGTTCATCAGTTATGTTCCGTCCCTTCAGTGAATGATATTCCATTATGCTTAAAATATTAATTTTGCTTGCCTCTATTACCTTTCATATATATATATATATATATATATATATATATATATATATATATATATATATATATATATATATATATATATATATATATATATATATATATATGTATATGTATATATATAACGTCTCCATTTTATGTAGAAAAGCTGGAAAGAAGGGCGCGCGCGCGCACACACCCAATTATCAATTATACATTCATTCTTATTGCTGTAGCAGTTCATCGAAAATTGGGTCTACTTAAAATTATATAATTAATCTTCAGTATCCTATAAAGGGCCTCGTAATACAGTATTAGAAAATCAGTCCTCTGTTACACTAAAAAATACAGTTTATTACTTCACTCTACATGAAGGTCTCTTGGTGAGGCTGTACCTACTCAACACATCATACTTTTTTGTGTTTGTTAAGATATTTCTTCAAACTTTTTTGCCATCATTGTCGCCAGTTCCACAGCTCCTCGTTATAGAGGCCGCACTCACTCCGCATCCTAGTAACCCAAACAATCTTTAATACCACCAACATAATTTATACAATCTACATGTTTGGCCAGAGATATATTACGTTTGTGAAAGAAGCGCTTGTGATATATCATACTTGAGGCTGTTTACGTAAGCTACTTAACACAAAGGGAATATAAGTGTAAAGTTTGTTCAGGGGTCCGGGAGGGAGTTGCCCACTACTTTAATATGTCTCTCAAAGGACACCGAAGTAACCTCCTTGTTTTCCCAGTTAGGCTGAGTCAATAGTGAGTTCTGGTTTATTGATTCTCTCGCACCGCCACACCTCAAGTATAATAATTTTAAAAGTGCATAAGTCCCAACATGCCATTAGTGGGCCTGGCAAAGAATCTGAGAAACACCTTCCTTGATGAACCTTTTGCTGTCCCCTTTTAATTTCTGGTTATGAATATACAATAAAAAAAAACTGACACACAATTAACTGCTGCACTGTTCTGTATCAAGTTTGGGTGGTTGAAGTATGTAGGAATATAGTATTTAGGTTTGATGCAGGGAATCGTCCTTCAAATACACCTACAGTGCGCAGGAGACGCTACAGTAGAGTGGTACGTGTAACAGGTCTGTTTCTGTAGTTTAAAAGGCTCCTTCCTTCCTTGCAGCTACCTGTTTCGAGCGTCCATGACACCCCACAGGCGATATTCACTAGTTTCAAGTTACCTAAGAGCTCGCCACCGCCACACGGGCACCTGGGGATGACCTTGGGTCCCCACCCGATGACGCCCCTGGGTCATCTGGCTCACCTAGGACGTGACACCTCCCCACCGAGACTGACCATCCCGTGCAGTACGAACAACAACATCTGCAGCGCCACCATCACCGCCACAGCCCAGCAGTCCGTCACCCCTGGCAGCATCCAACCTATCCTCCTGCCTCTCACAGGGCCGCTCCTCTCCAATCCGCTCCAACCACAAGTAACCAACCACTTTACCGTTTCCTGTACCTATCTGTTTGTAAAGTAATATAATTTGTGTTTTATATTCTGACCAAGTTGCTTTATGTTAATTTAAGACTATAATAATTTATATAACGGGAATTTGTCAGACATGAAAGCAATTTTTCCAACAATGCGAAATTGTACAGTAAACATGTTAACTATCAGACATTTATAGCCGAAAATTATGTTCAATACAAATTTTTAATATAACCACAAGCTGTAGCCGGTGACTGTACCAAGCGCTCTGATTAAGCACTCACAATTATTTCCTACGTTTACTTGGACCATACCAGATATCTAGGTCCACGTAGCCTGGTATACTGTACATGCTTCTGTAGAGTCAGCGGAGGCCGTGTACGGTTGCTCAATAAGACATCTACAGTATATACGAAATTAAAAGGCAGAGATGAATTAATTATTACACACTATATTCGTAAGCAAAGTTTTCTGCGTAGAACTGACATTCATTTCAGATTTTTTAATACTACCGATTATAGAAGAAAGAAAAATATAATTTATCACAGTTGTCCTGAAAAAAAAATTCATCACTATATACTGTGTACGTTCCAGGGAATTTGTGTAACCAGTGATTTAATGAAATCCCTAGTAAGTTCATGTAATCACTTGATGTAATTACTAGTTACACAAAGTCCCTGTAACGTGTATATATATATATATATATATATATATATATATATATATATATATATATATATATATATATATATATATATATATATATATATATATATATATATATATATATATATATATATATTGTAATCTCCTTAGGTAAGAATGAGTACAGTGTTTATTTGAAATAATTATTGGAGAAATAAATCTTTACCATGATAAAGTACAGTAATGTATTATTATAATCATAAGTATTGCAGTATCATAATGCGATGTAGAATACAGTAAATATTGGTGATGGTTGCTGTAGAGTGTAGCCCGAATGGTATCACTCTATTATTATTGCCCAAAACCAACAAAAGCTTTCAAAATATATATTCCAAGCTTATTAAGAATATAACTTAGTTCATGTAGCGTCCGCCAGATGTAGTTAGCCCGTGGGAGGCCAGGCTTGTCTCTCAGACGATGCTAATGTTCACGCACATGTTACTATACTGTACACCAAATACAATATTCATTTCTAAACGCCAGGGACACACACACACACACATATATATGTGTGTGTGTGTGTGTGTTTTGTATTATAGTCGACTTGTACAATATATGAATTAGCTAATTAAAGCTTATTGCATTCCTTTGTTTCTTCTTCACACGTACTAGATAATAATACGATATTTTATCAGTTGATTTTTAGACCCAGTGTTTTTACCATACTCAGTAATTTATACTTGCAGTTCAGGTGATAATTAGAGATCTTTTTCGAAACGAATTGAAATATAACCCCACTTAAATATGTACTGGTAACGAAATTTGTACTGGTAATTAGGATTTAAGTGTTATGTTCTTGACAATTACCAGGCACTACTTATAGTCACAGTACTGGTATATTATAACATGAGTTGTTGGTCTACTTACTCTATTCAGCCTAGAACCGAGATCTGGAATATGTTGGGAGGTGTCCGGGGGGTCAGAGCCCCCTATTAGAAAGTTAGGGTAGGTTTGGTTGGTGCTATCAACCACTTATTACTAATTAAGTTATCCTAACCAACCAACCCTACCCAACTTTCTAATAGGGGGCTCTGACCCACCTCCCCTGACCCCGTGGCATATTAAATATCTCTGTGCTAGGTCGTTTGCGAGGGCAACGTCTTAGAAAAGTGTCTTAGAATTTTTTAATATATTATTTGAAAAGATAAAATTCCCGAGATTTGGTTGGTTGCAACAAATACAATAATACTTATTCGCGTAGTTTTCTGATTTTCACCTCAAGATATCTTGGTTATGGGTAAAGTGCGCAAAAAGTGTTATAGAAGAAATTGTTCTTGTTTTTGTCTTAAATTATAATTAAACTAAAAAAACCTCTATCTAATTTATAAACCCAATTCCCAATGTACAGTACGGTATGTTCTTACTATTCAGCACTTTTAAACACAACTAAGTCTTTAGCGTCTTGATGGTGGATAGGATATATGAGCAATAGGGGTTGGGTGTAAATGGGACTGCCCAGTATGGGCCAATAGGCCCGCTGCAGTTTCCTCCATTCATATGTTCTTATGTTAAGTATCTAAGTATCATAAATGGAGATTTTTTGTCCACATTTGACATAATCAAAACTGGGATAACACGCAAGGAAACATCATTACCGCATATTTATTTTAACAGTTAAATTTAATGTTTTTGTGCTTGGTCACAATGGTATATTTCACTAAATATGTAATTACTATAATCTACGTAAAGAAAACTAAACCATGGTGTGTTGGTCCTGCAGGCGGAGATAGTTGAAGGATTCTACCCGTGGGGTGAGGGTGTGCCTTGCCCTGACCAGCTGTGTCCACTGCTGGGCCGTCGACACTATCACTGCGCCCACCCCCGCTGCCTCTACGTCACCGCCCACACTGACGTTCTACCCCTCCACTCCCACGACTTCCACGAGAACACGCCCATCCCTGAGGGCTTTATCGCCATCGACAGGAATATAGACTGCCGCTCACCTAACTGTCAAAGGTAGGAATTCGGTATTTGAAACTATTTAAAATAGTTTCAATTGAGAATAATGGAATTATTAGTCAACTGTTTTTGTCTTTCTAAAGAGAAAAGGTGAATCATTTTGCAATTTCTACTGATTATCACACACACACACACACACACACACACACACACACACACACACACACACTGGGTGTATTAGGCTAAATAGGGATAATTGTCGACTGACGATAACGTCAGTGTATTTATATTTTTGGAAATTTCTGACTGACCATAAACGATACATGTAGAATAGATCACACAAATATACAGTACAGTATATACATAAATGAAAAAGTTTCATACAAAATTAACCTAACCTAACCTACTTTATGTATAACGTGACTATATACGATTTAATTTTCATTGTTATAATAATAAAAACAAAAAGTTTTCTATATTTGCAAAAACTTCAGTTGCTTTATATATATATATATATATATATATATATATATATATATATATATATATATATATATATATATATATATATATATATATATATATATATATATATATATATATATATATATATATATATAGGGTATATGTGTGTGTAAAAATAATTGTGTCGGCATCACTAGTCATTTGGGTAGTTTGTGAATTCTTTGTTGGGCACTGGGCGTGTAGAGGCTCTCGAATGTACAGTACCTGAGCATGTGTAAACATTCTATGGCAGGTTATTTCAAGAGTTTATAGCTGACAGTTTTCTGTCCAGATAAATTCTTTAACTTAAGGCTGACTAACTGGGGCAGCCATCAGCTGACTCCCAATATGACAGATTAGTGTCTATTATGGTTTTAAACATTGTTATATCGTTCCCTGCTCTCTTATTGTGTCAACCAGAATCATGGTGCCTCTCCTCTGGGTATTCTCAATAAATTGACAGCCTTGGAATATCTCAGAGACCAAACAAAATTACAGTACAGTACTCTTTAAGTGAGGGAGCACCACATTTTTTTTAAAAACCTTATTAGATACGGGTCATATGGGCATGTATAGGATTTTCGTATAAATCCTACTACTGTACTTTATTTGTAAGAATAACCTTCTCACAGTGATCTGAGAACATTAGTTCGATGTCAGACACGTCAGCATAGGAACTAGATCTCTCTCACATCTTAGTCAGTGAGAGCATGAGGTACACTTCCTTACTACCAGCTTGACTAAGGTGCATCCTCTTGCATTACATAACATTTCTCGGTATCCATTTCTGTGAATCTGTGAGAATCCAGGGACTTGGTTATTTGTTTACAATACTGTATTTTAAACTGTGGTTCATCACTACCGGAAACGTGTCCAAGATATAGTGTAACCTTGATAAACCCCTTTGACCCACAGCAACAAGGTCAACAAACATTTCCACTGCACTCGCTGTGGTTTCTCCTTCGTGCGCTACCAGACGCTTGAGTCCCATGCGGAAAAGCACCAGCAGGAAGATGGGGCAGCCCCCACACACAGCCTTGGCCCTCAGTCGCCCATTTATCTGAAGAAGCCGCGTCCGGATAGCCCCATGGATGCGCCCTCGGCTGTCGGAGACAGAGAGTCGCCCAGCAAGGCACAAGGTTGGTACTGTGATATCATAAGACTCCTGGCAAACCCACTCACTGTGTATCTATTATCTCAGCACAGTACTGTATAATGAGTTTCCTTGGCATTTCTACCTCGTTCATGCAATACTTAAACCTAAGGAGAGTGAGTTTCAAAATCAGAATAGAAGAGTTTGCTAATAATGATGTTTCCTTGTTGTCTTATTTATTTTCATCAAATCTTGAAAATAGTATGGATTGGAAACGAGCAAATCCTGTTCAGTAGAACAAAAGCACCGTTTTTATTAAAGACACACTACAGGTACATATGTTTTCAGAAGGGTATTCCTATTCTAGCTTCACCCCTGGGACTGTGTTGCAACATTAGTTTACTTAGGGGACCAATATGTTCAAGTTTTTGGTTTCTAATGGATATTTACATCAGGTAACGTTTGTGACATTGTCCAAATTGATAAATACTGTAATGCATTTCTATAGACGCAGGATAGTATGGGACAAGGAACATACTGTACGAGTCATAGAAAGTGATGATGCATTCTAAAATCAAACATTTGAAGATTGGTTTATGATACTGAATTTTATGCTGTTTGTGTTCTCTCGTTCATAATAGCACATTTTAAGGCTGATTTTAACTTATTCATTAGAAACACAAAATGTTTGGTTCAGTGGGGATTTTCTTTTGATCATCCGTTGCCTCGAGAGTTTTATCATACACAATTTTTAGTTGAAGTGAAGGAATAGCATTACAACAACAGAAACAGGATCATGCCAGTTACTACAAATTTTTTCACATCCGGCATAGAGAGAGCCATCTAGATTTCAGTTGAAAGGTTATTAGGTGTTCAACATGATGAAAGGAAAAGTTGATGAAAAATAGTAGGAAATGGGATTGTACAAAGAAAGTTCATTATTACCAAATATTTATAGAGGAATGTCAGGACAAGTACGTATTTCATTTTAAAGTACAGTACAGTATAGGTAAAGTAATTTGTGTGTGGTAACATTATTATGAAAGTGGTGCCTTAAAATAATTCCAAAGTTTATTTATAAATATCTGTGCAAGTAGAGATTTGGGTATAACTTACACATAGAGTAAATCCCATTTACAGACAGTTGCAAAGAAACTACAGCTGTTTAACTTGTTATTTGTTTACTATCGTGATGATATCCCTCAGCCAAGCTGCAGGTTACACTGACATATAGATCTCTCCCCACCAGTGGTCAAGTCTTCAGGGATATTCTACCCCCTGTCGCCGTTCCCTACGTCCACTCCAGCCAACCTCCGAGCTTCCTCCAACAACCGGGGTGAGGCAGGTGCTCTCGTCACACCCATTCCACCATCATCGCGTCCACAAAACTCCACTACCTTCACTTTGCCTGTCTCGGGAAGCCTCACCATCACGGCCACTCGTCGCTCGCCAATACTCCATCAAGGCATGCACTCACCCATCCGAGATCGCATGGATCACACAGAGTCGGAGGACCGTAATGAATTTGACTCTGATCAAACTCGTACATTGAATCAGCATGGAGACTCATACCCTGCTCGGATCCTTCAGACCCTTAAACGTGAGCAAGAGCCACTAACAACAGCTCCTCTAGGTTCCGAGTGGCTCAGCCCAGAGCGTCATCCACAGTATGGCCCAGAATTTTCTTGTGGCCGACCTTTCTGTAAACTGAAAAAGAAGGAACACTTTCATTGCCAAATTTGCAACCAAGCTTTTAGTGAACATGAAAAACTAAGACCACATCTTATTAAACATGCAACTTGTAGCTCCATGAACTCTGGTGGTTTTGGTGTGACAGGTGAAGAGGACACAGATGTTTATCCTGATCAAGAAGAGGAGGAAGAGGGGAATCTCCAACCAAAAATTGAGAACAATGACCGTCCCAATAGCCCAAGAAGTCCTCATGAATGTAGTACTAGTAGCCTCGGGATAACGACACAGAGTATCTCCACCAGTAGCCCAAGACCGCTCAGTTGTAGTGGCATCAGCCTTAGTGGACCCCAAACTACGGCACCATTCCCAATGGTATATACTCAGGCAGCCACTTTCCCTGGACTACCAAGTCCCTTTGGGCCACATCTGGGCATGGCAGGAATATTCCCAGGATCTCTACCCCGTCTTTTACCGCCAGCTGCCTGGCAAGTCCACCCAGCACTGGCGGCCATGGCCCAGCAAGGTCTAATAATGCCCGGGGTTCGTCCCAATGGGGATTTGACTCATGGATCACCTGGACCAGGAGGTTTGCAATGTGTAGGTCCAGGGATGGGTGGCCCAGGCATGCCTGGCTCAGGTGGAGACCACAACCCTTTGTTGCCCTCCTCTCTGGGAACCTCACCTCATCTGGCCATGTTAGGCAAGAGGCTAGGTGCTGAAGACTTCAACTCTCAGGAGGCCAAGAAGATCCGCTCTAATCACTCTATACGTTTGCTCAAAGATGAGCCTGTGCCCGAAGGTTACATACGCTTTAGGTAAGGAAACTCTTCATTAGTATCTTGCACCCACGCTCCCAAATTTTTACTATATGTTTTTACATGTTCATAGTTGCATTAACGTATATTACAAAATATCTGCTGATATTTACTTATATAGTATTCATTTATCTAATCTTTAAGTTTCAGTATTCTTTATACTGCACAATCAAAGACAAAATTCGTGTCGCAGTTTTGTCTGAAGATTAATTATAACTCGTGAAACATTATGAGAGCCCCCTACCACAAGGCAGAGCGCACCAAAAGTTTTAGCCCTTCGGCATATGTTTTTACCAAATTTCACGACACGACTTTTGTCATTCATTGTAGTACACGCCAATAGTTGCTGTGAAATAATTCTAATATAACTGCTTTAATATATGTACAAAATTATTTACAATACTGTACTTGTAGTTACTTGATATGTCTGCCACTGTTTAACTTTTTCCTTGCTGTCCTGCCCCAGGTTCAACGAGGATTGTCAGTATCCTCATTGTGGGTATAGAGAACACCAGACACACTTTCACTGCATGAGGAAGGACTGTGGTTACTCCTTCTGTGACAAGACACGCTTTGTGCAACACACAGCACGCCATGAACGGCTTGATACCCTCATGGGTGGCGACTTCAATCAATTCCGCTCCAATGTTGCCTGCGGGCGCCCTGACTGCGTCTATGCCTCAATGATAGGTAGGTTCCTCTTCAAAGTACAGGTGTTTCCCATGTTTTCAATAATATTTAATTTCTCAACAAATGTTTAATTAATATTTATGCAATTTACAATGAACTCAAAATTGATATGAATATTTACAAAATATAAATAACAGAACACATTTGTTCACCTTGACAGGCCAACAGCAGAACAAGGCGTCACATTTCCACTGCCTCAAGTGTGACTTCGTGTGCACAGACACCAACAAGGTGGTGGCGCACCGCAGGCAACATCAGAAGCGAGACTCTATCAATGCCGCGGGATTCGAAAAGTTTACACCATCCCAGCCGTGTGGCATCCAGGGCTGCAACCATAACCAGAAGCAAACACATTACCACTGTCTCAAGTGCCAGTACTCGGTCCTGGGCCTCAGCCAGATGTCCGCACACAGGTTCCGACACCTCGAATGAAGTTTCTTTGGGGAGTAATCTGCGGAGAGGCTCCCCGGCGCCCCTATCTGAGGGCGCAGGAACAAGACCAACACTTTAGGACTGTGAATTAATCCCCACCCAAGCTACCCTGAGAAGTAGCGGTGGACTGGTGAATACGGTCTTGAGTGGGCACGTTTTAGAGCCCACGTGTTGAACTTGTGTGAGCTACACAGTGTAGCTTTGTAAAATAGCATAAGTGTTATCGTTAGCCTTACATATCATTGTAACATACCAAGTGGTGTAGTTGTTATTCTTTCTACTGTACCTTGTATCCAGTTTTTTGCTAGACAAATGGAATTTGTACGAGTGAGCATTCATGATGAATGATACAAAAGTTGAAAACTCTTGTGTACCATAGAGAGAAGTGGGAAGACTATACATAGTGTATACGGTGTCGTGGTTGTACCAGTGAGCCTTATAGTCATGGGCAAGTGGTGGGGCGTGGCTGGGCCGGGCCACATCTGCCACTGGTCACCACCGCTGTGGCCCACCACAGCCCACTGCCTGTTGCCCACTACTCGTGGACTATTAACTGTGTTACTTTGTTGGTTAGTAAAAACCAATATACTATTGACTAATATTCCTGAATGTTTGTGATGTATTTGGTATTCAATACCGAGAAAAAGAAGCCTCAGACCTGTATGAAACCCGAGTGCCTTGTTGAAGGTTAAACAACAGTGTCTTTGCGATAGTGTCTTACTGTAGGCTGGTGTGGTGTAGTTTGTGGGGTGGAGATGTGCAGGTGCCACGCCCGGCCACTGTGCACCCATGCAGGTGCCATACTCGGTCACCATGCTCCCAAATAGGTGCCACGCCTAGCCACCACGCAATTGTGCAGGTGCCATGCCCGGCCACCGCCCGTGCCTTCCTGTGACCCATGCCACCACCACCACCACCACCCTACTTGTGCACTCCTACGCCCCAACACACATAGCTTTGCTGAATATAATTTTATACTATTTATTTTTTAGTGTTACCAAATATTAGTGCCAAGTATTCCGTACTCATTCAGTTATTTCCTGTAGTGCCAAACCATTTCTATATTTTTTGTTTGATTTTAATTTGGTGGCAAAGAATGTGCCAATATTAATACTATTTTTTGTGTTTTAGGAATTCTTATGATATATAGCACCGACTCGTGCATTCTGCATTGCATATTCAAGCCACGGTGTAGACATGCTAGTGGAAAATAGCAGCATGAGAATGGTTAAAGGCATGATGTTCGTGGGTCAGCACCACGCTAGTGCCTCGCCTGCCTCACCCCCACCTTAGTTCTCACCTGTAAGCTTGGACAGGGGTGAGGCAGGATGCTGGGGCCCCAAGAGCCGTGTGTGGCCCTGGGGAGCCTGCTTGATCCAGGAGGTAGTCCAGGGTAGTTTAAGGACCTCCTCAGCGAGAAGGTAGGCCATCAGGCCTCTAAGCAGTAGAGTGTCTTGTTTGCTGTGATGTAGACATGTAGTATTAGGAAGTTATGACCAACGGTAGCCAGTGTGAGACACGAGACGGCCGGTAGTGCCCGTCCCCTTCAGCTTTACTACTTCATATAATTCTGCTGAGCTGTTATTTGTATTATTCACACACTTTCCCTGCTTGCACCTCTTTTTCATGTTATATGATGTATGTGTGTGGTGAGTGGGGCGGGTATTGTGGTGACGGGGAAGTGGCCAGCGTGAGCCCCCGCCCATCAGCCACTTGCTTCTCACTCTGGTAGGTGCACCGCCTGCTACCCTCAGTTTCAGCTCACTCAGCACTGCTGATGCATTTATGTACAGTTCTATTTATTACGGTGGGGGTCCCAGATGTGGCGCCAACCCTCATGGTAATGCTCTGCTCTTGTGACCCTCTAGTGCTTGTCTTCTCAGCCACTGAGACAGTGATTGAACTAAGATTTTGATTTAATGTAGGTGATCAATAGCAGTGGCATTGTTCTGCGGGGCAGTATGAATCAGTCTGGCACTCCTTCAGTGTAGTTTGTTGTCCCCTAACCCCCCTCCCTCCAGTGCCCTGATCTTCAGAGCCCTGGCATCGACCCCCTGAGGTCTGGTACCGATCCTTGGCGCCCTGGTAGTGTTGGATTGGTGGATGGCATCTCCCCAGTAGGCTAGAAGGCCACCCTTTGGTCACCACTTTGGTTAAAGGTGGTTGATATTGTAGGGGATGTAGGAGGGAGGATGGGAGAGTTAGTTGGTGGGAGGGGGGGAGGAGGGCCACAATGTAGGACGGGTGGAAGGGAGTGTTGGTCTGGGCACCGCGGCCACATACTGGGGCCGCCCACCCCCAACACCATCCTGGCAACTTACTCAAATAAAGTGATACATTGAAGTTTTGGTACTTTGGTATTATCCTTTCGCATAGTTCACACATGGCTTTAATATAATGAATACTCAGAAAATACAAGCACTTTTTCATGCACATTCAGGAACCCATGTGGACAGTAACCAACGAGTGAGTGGACAGCGCTTCTTCATTAGGGGTGGATTAAGTGTACTTAGGGCCTGAGGTTAATTCTATTTGGGGGTCCTTTTGAATAAAATTTTGCTGCATTTTTATGAACACTATACCCTGGCATGGTTATCATAATACTCATCTATGGAATTTGATATAGAATAAAAGGAAACAAAACAGCTTTACCACTGAATATAAAGTTAAAGGCAAATAAAACAACAAAGATTAAAGAAGTCTCGTTTGTGGACTAATAAGCTATTTTGTCCTCAACAAACCTCTTTCAATCAGTGTTGCAAGAGCATCCGGTATGTGATCAGTTCAATGCTGCAGTCTTGATTTTCAGTCCTGTTTCAGAAATCATTGATATGAGCAGCAACATAGGATACATAATGAACCATTTCATCGCCCAGGCTGGTCTCAATATCGATGGGGTTGTGGGAATTAATTTCCACCTTTATCCTCCAGGTCCTTGAAGCACCGTAGTAGTGATCTTGTGTGTTATCGGACTTGGAATAACAATCCAATGTGGTATATGTAAATAATTTTCAAATCAATTAATGATTTAATTAGCTAGTTAGGTTAGGGAAATGATCATGTGTAGGAAAATTAGTGGTAAAAACACTATTTGGCACCCACAAGACGGATTACTTCACGAGAAGTAGTGCGGTATTCCTCTTTCTCTATTAGTCACGTTAATATAGTTTAATTTACACGATATCGGTGGCGGAAGTTAGCTAAATATGTAAATATGTATTGATATCAAGAAATAGTATTGCAAAGAAAAATAATAATGAATATTTAATTCTTGTTTATGTACCACTGCGAGATTGGGTCACACAATTGTACAAGGCGGTAGAGGGTAGGAACCTAACTATCATTACACTCTTCATGAAGGGCTGACGCAACTCTCCAAAATCTAGCAGACAGCCGGCAACCCAAGGATATTCTAGCTTCTCAGTTCCTCCAAGACTCTATAACACGTAGCAGCCCTCCAAAATAATAGCTAAGTACCTTTTTAAAGTTTAGGTGATCACTTATTCTTGGGTACCGCTATTTTAAGAAGCGTACGGGGCTAGCTTAGGTAATTATAGTATATTTTTTATATAATATATTTTAATAACTTAGATTTAATATCTACATGGTGCCCCGAGTGAGGAGCTGGGACGAGTTTAGGTATGTTCAAGGTAGTAATCGTGGGATACAGCCTGATTCCACATTGGGTAGAGATACTGGTCATAATAATTAACCCCCGTTGTCAGGATATTATGGCACTGAATGTTACACAGTATTTCAATTGCATTATTTGTTTAGTTCTATACATAGAGGGTAACTTATTCACAAATGCGTGAGTACAGGCGTGTGAGGCAGTATGTCTGGCCTCACACTTTGTTATTCACATTTACGTGAGAAGTATTCAAGCACATTGCGTATTTGGTTCTGTACATGAGAACTGATGTAGTTACTCAGTGCAAAAAAGTGGATACAATCTTAATATGTCGGCTATCTTGCCATTAGAGATGAAGTGTTGTGCCATTTCACACACAGTGTGCTTGGACCTGTCCCTAAAAGGTTCTATCTTCACACAGTCGAGGACGTAGTGTTCAAGTGTGTGGTCATATGTCTGGTCACACACTTTACATATAGTCTTGTTTACATCTGCTTGAGGAACATACTGCCAGAGGTACTTATATCCTAACCTTAATCTAGCGGTTACAACATCTTGTAATCTAGTTATCTTGTTACTTGCTCCAAATACATGTTTCACTTGATACATCTCATCATGGTAAACTATGGATCGACTAGTGCCTGTTTGCACTAGTCTACTTGCGTCAAACTCATCAATAAGTTCTTTTCTAATTACAGTTTTAAGGTTTCTTTTTGACAGATCCAAATTATATTCAACGGTGTCTTTGTTAGACGCGAGTTTGGCGAGGGCATCAACTCTGTCATGTTTTATGAGGCCTATGTGAGAGGGGATCCACAACAGTTTGACCTTGACACCCCGGTCAACAAGGCACGCATATTTGTGTCTGGCTTCAGAAACAAGAGTGTGACAACCTGAGTCGAGGGTGTCAAGGGCAAGTAGTGAGGATAGAGTCAGTGATGAGGAGACTGTCAGTGACAGTGATTTCAATTAATTTAATAGCTGTGAGTATGGCAACTAATTCAGTTTGTAGAGTGGATGCCCAGTTGTTAATTCTAACTCCTTTCTCAATTATATTACCGTCAGGTTGAGTCACAACAAGAGCACTTCCAGCCCTCCCACAGGCGGTGTTAAGAGATCCATCAGTGTAGATGGTCTGTGTGATATTATCTTCAGTCTGTAGAGTGTGTATGTGTTCAAGAGCTCTCAATTTGGCAGTGTGTTGGAGATAAATGCTTTGTATAATTAATTTCTTAGGCGGATATGTCGGTATTGTGATATCGAAGGGAATTGTCCGCTAGGGTAGCAGGAAGCGCTGTTGTCTCAAATTTGTACAGGTGGTCTAGTCCAAACCTCTTCATGTGTGTAGCTGTAGTTTTGGATCCATTTAGACTCAACAGTCCCATGGTTCATACATTCTAGCAATTTTAAGGAAACAATGTTATCAGGATCACCACGCAGAAGCCTCGGGGCTATCATGAGGTTGACTTCAATTATTTTATCTTTAACACTGGGTATACCTAGCTCTTTCCTCATATTAAGTACTTTAGTGCTCATGAGACATCCTAGGATAATTCTGAGGGCTTTATTTTGCATTTTCTCGAGCTTGTCAAAGCCTTTCCCGTCACGAAGGACCAGGGCTGGTGCGTGGTAATCTATCAGAGATCTTATATAGTTTAGGTACATTATTTTAACAATTCTAATATTAGCATCATAGAGCAGGCTGTACCCCGCTACACTTCTAAGAGGTCTCAGTCTGTCAGTACATTGGCGGGTTAGCTGTTGTATGGCAGGTAGGGTACAAGGGACGGAAACACCAAGATATTTAAAAGAAGAAACAGTCAATAGTGTTGTTACCTATCTTGAACTTGGCCAGGCCGCGTTTGCGGTTACCAGCTTGTTTGTTGAACACCTTAGTTTTCTCAGTGGAGATAATAAGACCAAGGTTCTCACAGGCTGCGTATACATGGTTCAGGGTGGTTTGCATTTCACGATGAGTTTTAGTATGTATAAGAATATCATCAGCATAGCTGATTGAGATATTGCTGGGTTTGTCTGGTATTAAATTAATACACCTTTTCACATATCCGTTGAGACATTGTTACATAACTATTTGACAAATTTCATAATCGAATGACAGAACACATATCAAATGACATTCTAAAATAACTGTTGGTGGTATGTCATTCTCCAATTGTTACATTCTCAAACTATATGTAGACTGCCGGTTTATTGTTCGTCTGTCAACTTCATAACTTATGTCAATCGCTTCCGTTAGCATTAACGAACAGTTATTTTAGATTGCCATTCGATGTGTGTTCTGTCATTCGGTTAGGAAATTTGTCAAATAGTTATGTAACAATGTCTCAACGGATATGTGAAAAGGTGTAATGCATTCATAAGAACATTGAACAAAGTGGGGCTAAGTACTCCACCTTGAGGGGTACCAAGTTGCATATCTTTAACTTCACTTTTGTAACCCTGAAACAGTGCAGCAGCCCTTCTGTTGGTTAGGTAACCACTTATCCAGTGTAACAGCCTACCTCCTATATCCATTTTGGCTAGCTCGTACAATATCAGTTGCCTATTGGCAATATCAAATGCAGCTTTTAGGTCAAGAAATGTGGTGTATCTGTGCCTTTCATCACCATGCACAGTTAGGAATGTGGTGATGCAATTATGTACACCTTTACCATGGGTGAAGCCATTTATGTTAGGAGACATGTGTTCTCTGATTCTTTATAAGAGTCTGCTAAGAACCAACCTCTCAAAGGTTTTACACAGGCAGCTGGTTAGTGATATGGGACGAAAAGCATCAGGCTGTCCTGGTTTCGGTATTGGTACAACAATACTGCTGGTCCATGATGTGGGTAGTTGGCCCTCGGCATGACTCGTACTGTACAATACTAACAATGGATTGCCTGGCACACGCCTTAGTAGTCTAACGATGTTGTAGGTGACTCCGTCCTCTCCAGGGGAAGTAGACCTACCCCTGGCGAGGGCGGCGTCAAGCTCCCACTCGGTATATGGAAGATTACACTCATCGTGCTGTTTGCCCAGCCTAAAGCTAATAAGATTACTTCTCTACAGACTTCGCATCAAGGAATCCCCGAGTCCTAGCTGGTAACATGTCATAGCTAGAGACATGAGCCCACTTTGTTATTAGCTCATTCGACTTTTGCAGAGGGTTTGGATGGGAGATGTGTCTACTGTTTTAACCTCTCTGTTTGTCTTTCCAGGCTTTGCTGAGGGATGTGTGTTGGTGGTTCAGGCTGTTGACATATGTCTCCCATGCATTTACCAGACTGCGAGATACGGTGCTTTAGGGCCCTTGGGGGGAGGTAACTCAGTTCGACCAAAATGGCCATCTTAATTCGGTACTAGAGTGGCCTTACCACCTCACAATTCTTCCTGGGAGAAAATGATGTTTACGAGGGCGTAGTCCCCAGTGAAATCTCTGATGCAATATTCAAGGTAGTCGACAAAATAGAAGAGGCCTGCAATTCTAAGGTAGCCATCACTTTACTGGAACCCCGACTCTTGCCTCCTACAGCCAGAGTATCAGGGGAAACCTATAATTTAGCGTAAATATAAAAGAACCAGAAATTACAATCATTTCAATTCAAAACCATTTCAGAGAAACTTAAAAGCTGATGGTGTACACTGGAATGCCCAGGGTCGATATTTTGTTTTTAATAAATTTAAGAACTTGAACAAGAAGTCACACCATTTC